TGTGTTGGGCGTTGAATGCGGCCACTGTTCGTATGTTGCTCACTCCTTCCCCTGCAATCATGCTCGTCTTCGCGTGGGCCTTCGCCGTATCTCCAGCAAATCCTTTCAGAGAAAGTTGCTGCAAAATAAAAAGAGAAAATGACACAACACTAAAACTATTTAATTAAGCCTAATTCCAATTACATGTTTGAACCAAGCAATATAACATGGGGAAGCTTTTTTTTTTTTTTCCAAACATTAAAAAGAGAAAAAGGGACATGACAGAGACATTAATAGATCGCAGAAAGTAACGTCCTTTTGCAATCAATCGTAACTTTCACTGTATTAGTGGCATGCGCAAATTTAGACTACTGTTCAACCCGAGACAAAAATCGTCTCAGAGCTCTCTGTACTATAGTTTGAAAACGAACCCCATTTTCTGGAAACCCTCCCTTCCCCATTAGATTTAATCACTGCCAGAAAAATTTCCAAAACCCGACAATATCTAATGAACTCGTCAGTGGCAGTACTGTGCAAAATTCAAAAATAACTATATAGTTTTGAAACTTTATATTATAAGTATGGAGATCACGGGGGAGAGGATTATTTTCGCTGCAGTTTTTCACATGGGATATCTGCCAAATGCCAGAGCCAGAGGAACGAGATAGCTCGGATTTCAAGGGACAGAGAGAAAGATGGTCAAAATTTGAAGCCTTGAATCAGAAAAACAAAAATAATTATAACAATACTGCAAAACCGAGAAAATAGGCATTGGGCTCGAAGAAAAAGCTGAAACAAAACAAAGCCCAGAAATTATCTTTCCAAAAGCTTGAATCTCGTTGGAATTTCCAAGAGGTTTCCAGGCTTGTTTTTGTCACTTATATATATATTTTTTTTTTTAAAAAAGCTTTCAACTTTCAGTCTATTTCTTTATTGTTCAATCACTGCTATTTTCCTCCTTTTAAAAAAAAAATATTCAGAAGTGAGTGCAGAGTAGGGGTGTGAGCAGTGGGAGGAAGCACGTGCAGAGCACAGAGATGGTGGCGAGTTTGAGTTAAATATTTCAGGTTTTTTGTCGCGTAATGGAAGGAGAGGACTTGGGATGCAGTGAAGTTATATTCCAAGAGCTGTAAAAAGCAAAATTCAGAGAATCTGACCCAATTTCCTTAAAATTAAATCACTTAACTGCAGCCCCTCTCCTCTCATGCCACTTTCTAGACTAGGGTCAACCCCACGCAGGAACCCCTAGCTTTCCAATAAAAGACCTATTGTAACTTTCATTTTTGTGGGTCATTTTTACTGCCTATAAAACAGGTAAATAATTGAGAATTTTGGGAGTTTTTTTTACCTGAGCCATGTTGGCGAGAACCAGCAGAGGGAAGGCTGCAAGAATGAGAAGAGAGACTCTCCATTCCACAATGAATGCAACTATGAAAGAAGTGAAGAGCGAAGTCATATTCTGCAGAATCACTGATATTCTTTCAGCTATGGCTGATTTCACATCCGCTGCATCTGTTGCCAATTTTGCTGCTACTAAACTTGAGTTGTGTTCCTCCTCATCGAACCATCCCACTTCATTCCTCAAGATAGCTAAACTCAACAAAACAAAACTCAATTTTGAACAAAATTTTGGCCAATAGATTACATAATCAAGTGTTTTAATTGTGGAAGTTTGTGATTTTACCTGCGAGCATCATTCTTCTGACTCTGGTAGTCAGGTTCTCTCCCATGATGGTAAAGAAGTAATGCTGAACTAAATAAGCCACCACCGCGTAGACCCCGATTCCAATGTAGATGAACACGAACTCCTTAATTTTCCTTTCCATGGCGGAGGAGTTTCTGTAGTAGAAAACCTCGATCATGTTACTCATCACAATGGCGAATGTCGGACCGATGAATCCCGAAAGAACAGACCCAATGGCGCCCATGATTGAATAAGGCCATTCGGGGCCATTGAGTTTAAGCAGTCGGAGGAAGTAGCCACTCGGGGCAGGATTTTTCCGGTCAGTTTCAGCGTTCGACACCATTTCGATCCGGCCATCGGCACCAGTGCTGTAGGAGTAGCTCAAATTCCGGAGACTTCCGGACCGGAGGCTCAATGACTTCGTTGACAGCGAATGGCTCAGCCGTGATGATCGTGTTCGACGTGTTGATGGGTTAGAGAATTCTCTGTTTCGGACCATTTCCTGGAAGCGAATTAGTGAAGAATAAGCTCCGGACTTGGCGATTAATTCTTCGTGGGTTCCAGTTTCCACGACCTGCCCCTGTTGTATAACTGCAATTGAATCGACATTTCTTATGGTCGACAACCGATGAGCTACGACCACCGTTGTTCTTCCGATCATTAAACGATCTAAAGCTTCCTGAACAATGCTCTCGGATCCGGCATCCAGGGCGCTGGTCGCTTCATCGAGGAGAAGGATTTTGGGGTTTTTCAACATTGCTCTGGCTATGGCAATCCTCTGCTTTTGGCCACCGGAGAGTTGTAGTCCTCTTTCCCCGACCTGGGTTTTGATTTCCGAGTCGTTAGAAACAAACTTGTATTGAAATGGAATCAATTTGAAGCAATTGTGCGAACCTGGGTGTTGTAGCCATTGGGGAGCAATGTTATGAAGCTATGGGCGTTGGCTGCAGCAGCTGCCGCTTCCACCTCGGCCATGGTGGCGTCCGGTTTACCGTAGAGAATGTTTTCGAGTATGGTGGTTGCGAATAGCGCCGGCTCCTGGTTCACTAACCCAATTTGATCCCGCAGCCATTTCAATTGCAGAGTTTTTATGTCCACATTGTCCAGTAGAACCTGCCCTGTTCTCCCAAAAACAGAGGATATCAGAACAATTCTCAAGCTATGTAGTATACTCCGTTGTTAATTAGTTACCTTGATTGGGATCGTAGAATCTTTCAATTAGGGAAACGACAGTGCTTTTCCCGGAACCGCTACCGCCGACGACTGCGACGGTTTTTCCGGCCGGGAAGAAAATGGAGAAGTCCCGGAAGATGACCACGTCTGGCCTTGATGGGTAGCTAAAGGTGACATCTTTGAACTCGATATTGCCATTAACTTCACCCAAACACTTCCCCTCTAATGGGTCTTGAATAATTGAAGGCTTCTGCTTGATTATCTCCATCAATTTGTACCCTGCTGCTTTCCCTTTGCTGAATGCTCCCAAATTAGAAAATGACTGACCCAAACTCCTGCAATATTTCACACAATGAACAATCGTGGGATGTAATAGTCAAAACACAATTTGTTTTTAGTTTTCTCGAGAGGAGGCAGGCTTACATGCCACCGACGATGGCGGAGAATATGGCAGTGAAGGCCTTGCCGCCGTCGGTCTGGCCGTTTCGGATGAAAACGCCGGCGTACCAGAAGACAAGAGCCCAAGACATACAAGCAATGCCATAGGTACAACCTAGGCCCAACCCCTTGGCCATTCCTGCCTTGTACCCAAGTTTCAAGGTGTTCTGAATTGCATCTGAATACGAATTCAGGGCCTTGCTTTCTCCAACATAGGAGTAAACAGTTCGAACTTGAGCAATCGCCTGTTTGGGAACACGTTTTCAAACACATCATGTTAATGTTTTTTTGCAAGTTTTACATCAGAAACATGGCATGTGATTAGGTGGAATGAAAATCCACTGTGGGTTTGACCCAAAAGAAAAAAAAAAGAATCAAACTTGGGTCAAGTGTGGAATTTGGGAATGAAGATTTTAATTAGAAAGTAATGATAAGTTTTGGTAGGGGGGTGTTTGTTTCACATGAATAAAACATCATGATGCCATGTTGCTAAAAAGGCGTAGGCTTTTTTGGTGCTCAAAAGAGGACACAAACTAATATGAGAACTCAAGCCAGGCTGGTGGGTTTTTCAGGCATGCTTTTAAAGATCATAGGCAAATAAATAAAATCAAAACAGAAGAGTGAGAGAGTTCACAAACATTACACTCAAAAATAGGAAAAACAATTTAAAAAAAGAAAAAAGGTTCACCTGTTCAGCAATTATGCCAGCATTGGCATAGGATTCTCGGCTCTTGGAAGTGAGGCCAGTGAGAGTATAAGCATATAAACCCCCAGCAAAAGCGATTCCAGGGATTACTGCTATACTCAGAAGTGCTAGTCTCCAAGCTGACACAAAACCCACCACCAATCCAGCCAGAAATGTCGAGAGATAGTGAATGAAGTTTCCCACCTGAACACCAAATTGAACAAAAAAACAAACCAAGATCTGATTCATTTCATATCAATGGCGGTGCTCTGCCTGGCGCACGTTAAGGCCCCTCCAGCTAACGTGCGCCTCTGCTCTAATTAATGAAATTGCTACCACCCCAGATGGGCGTTTTGCGGTATGAAGAAACCCATCTCGCCCCCATTCTAAGTTACTGTTAGATTTCATCCATTTAGAGAGAACAAAAAAAAAAGTACCTTTTCGCTGATTGCATCTTGAACGAGCAGAGTGTCCGTTGAGACACTGAAGACGACATCCCCTGTTCTGGCATCAGTGTCGAAGAATCCAACATCTTGTTTAAGAACAGCTTCTAAATACTTCTTTCTCAAGGTGCTCACTTGCCTCTCCCCTGTGTACATCCAGCATGCAATCTCTGCACCCAGAAGATTTTAAAGGATCAACAAAAACTAACCCTCTGAAGTTTGGGTTCTTCGCAGAAACAGAGGAGGTACTTTACCGGCGTAGGATGAGAAGCAGACAATGAGACCCAGGTACACGAAATACAGAGCATACTGAAAATCAAAAGGCAAAAGAAAACAAAACCCAATGATCGGATCTGAGATCTGAGGAAACAGAGGGAAAAAATAGAAAGGGCGAGAGAAATTAAAGAACCTTGGAGACTTCGGCAGTCATTGTGTGGAAATTGGATTGGTTTTTGCCGAAGCCATTAACCATTTCGCCGAAAAGGAGGAAGAAAACGGGCATGGAAGAGCCGTGGACGATGGCGCCGAGACTGCCGAGGATCATGAGAAAGCAGTCGAATTTGTCAGCAAAAGAGAAGAGGTGGAAAAAGGGAAGGCTCTGTTCCTTCTTCTTGTCCGGGTCGGGCAATGCCTTGGGCTCTGCCACTGGTTCCGCCATTGGAGGGGAGACTCCAAAAACAGGGGCTGCCTTAGAAGAAGAAGAAAAAAGCAATTTTGGGTGGATTATGAACTAGCTTTGAGTTTGCATTGAAGAGGGTGGGAGAGATCTTGAAGTGTCAACGTCGAGAGTGAGCTTCCCCCTCCTTTTGCCGGAGAAAAGAGAAGAAAGAAGAGAGAGAGAGAGAGAGAGAGAGAGAGAGAGAGCAGTGGTCAAAGGAGAAGAGAAGAGACTAGATTTGAAGAAACAAGTGCGTGGGGAGATTGGATTCTTATAGAGAGAGAGAGAGAGAGAGATGGGGACATTTTTAAAGCTTTGTTTTTTAGAATTTTCATTTTTCGCAGCTCCTTTAATTTCATGTAGTTATCTTAAATTAAATTGCAGAAAATGTTGCTCAGCTGTTACAGTAGTTCAGTTCTGATTTTCTTTTTTCCTCTGCCTGGGTTTATGTGCACACTCAATTCTTCCCTTTCAACAAATCATTTTGGAATAAATTTCCTCTTTTTCTCCATTAAATTCAATGAAAATAAATAGAAAATATTATTGAAAATTGGACAACTCGTTTATTTTTTATTTCTCTCGTTTAATTGTCAAAATATTTAAGAACTGTCAAGATAATATTAATCTTCACCCGTAGAAGTCAAGTATTTTTCAAAAAGAATTTGGCTCCTAATCATGGTAGGTATGCGATCTTATAATTATTTTTCGGAATGTCTTGTTTTCATCTTTGTTTGACTAATTTACTCCAAAAGTAAATCTACCTCAGCTTATAGAATCAGAAATACCTCTGCCTAGATATTTCATCGGGTAAAAAAAATTATTTTGATGGATCATCTTGAGAATGAAACAACTATTTTGAAACCCATTTCTTCTCTCAACCAAACAACAAAACCTCTCCCCAAAATCAAACACTTCAACATCAATGGCGTAAAGCATCCCCAACACATAAGGAAAAATAAAAAGCAAAGAAAATTGTGTAACTTTAAATGGGTTGAGAGATATTTGTGATTCTGTAACTTTGAATATCTAAAAATGGAGAGCCAAGGGAGAGGTGAGAGCTGGTTGTAGGAAGAGAGAAAAGGGGATGAAAAACGTTATATGGTTTGTGGAAAAAAAAAATAAAAAACTAAGATTTGTTTTATTAGATTTATGAGCCTTAATAAAATAATTAAAAACAAAAAACAAAAAATCAACATTTATTTACAGCACTTTCGAGCACTTTCGAGTGTGCGCTTTAGTTTGGATTAGAGAAGGGAGCGTTTCTCTACAAACCATTCGAGCTAAAATTGATTATGTCGGGATAAGGAGCACAATAATCAAATCATTTAGAAGTCAAGTTTTTTCCAAATTAAGTTGTTTATATTGTTTATTAAAAAGATGATGAAAAATAAATTTTTATCAAATTTTCAATTTGTATCATTTTTATTTTAAATTCAACTTAGGTTCTAGACTTAAATAAGTGTAACAATTTTTATTATCCGGTTCAATTTCTGGTTTCATTAGTTAAGTAATGCAAAAAACTTCTCAATTTCTCTCACAAGTTTCAAAAGGAAAAAAAGTCAAACATCAAATTTTTCTAAATTCTCTTACTTTTGTACTAAACATGTGTTTTTTAATTTATTGGATGTAAATTCGAATTTTTTTTCCTTCTTTTAACTATTCTTCCAACCAAAACTTACCAAAAAAAAATAAAAATGGTAACACTTTGTAAGTTTGTGGTAATATTTATCGAAGTTTAAAATTAAATTTGATTGATAATATAAATATAGCTCAATTTCTCGTTTGTACTAAAAAATAAAATAAAATTTGACCAAATTGAAAGTTTAGGTTACAAATTGATATATCTCATGGAGACAAACTGATTTTTTTCTTAAAAAAAGTTAATTTTATTTATTTATTTTATTAATTTAATTTGTATAAATATATATATAGACACACATTAATTATCAAAAGTATATATATTTCCCCTCTAATTATCAAATATATATATATATTACATATATAACTCGATTTCCCTCTAATTTTCCTTTTTTTACTGTCTCGCAACTCTTTCCTTGTCTAGATCTCTCTCCCTCCTTTAATTTATCTTTCTCCTTCAATCTCTCTCTTGCCTACCTCATTTTGATCCAATTATTCATCCATGTCGGTGGAGTTTGAAGATGTTATTATATGTTTTAGTACAACAAACAAAGGTAAAATATATAGAAATTTAAAATTTTGACTTCATCAAAATAAGTTGATGTTATTTTCACGATGATGTGAAATTTCAAGGTTCTTTTTTCCTTTTTCTTTTAGTATAGAAAATGTAGGATATGAATATTTGAATCTCTCCGACCTAAACAAAAGTAGATATTATTTATTGCTTTACTATATTAAGATTGACATGAAGTTTTAAGATGTTTGCAAAAGACATAATTCAAATAAATGGGAGAATATTGATGGAATTTAAATTAACAACTAGCTACTAATATTTACATTTAATCTAATTTAAATAAATAGTGGTCGAATTTTAAAAGATAATATTAATCTAAACTGAATTGATTTTTTACCTATTTATAATTTAAAGATAAATGTGGTGACTTGACTTTTATTTCTATTTTCATAAATTTAAAGATAAATTGCTACAAATGTGTTATTCTAAATTTATTTTAATATCAAATTATTATCTAGTTAACAAATTTAAATTTTTGGTGACATTGACAAGAAAATTTTAATTTTAACTAGAAGACAAGCGTTCTTTTTTATTATTACCTGCTAAGTTTTATACTTTTATCTTCATTTCTGTGTCTCTGCGTGGGTTATATAAAATGCGTCCGAGGACAGAAAGTGAAATAAGAATGAAAACTCTGCCACGTGGAAGAAGTTCACTGGTTAATGATCTTTTTTTGTGCAAATAAACAACCGAGACTAGCAGTACACGAAAGTGACGTTGGCTCACTTATACTAACAGAAATTGCATTCCAGTCCTCTTTCTTTACCTTTATTACAAAACTAACCTCAAACATGTTTTCTTTTTTCATTTCTGGTGCTGGTGCTATATTGCACTTATTTCACAAAAATCGTGGTTTCTATAACTATTTTTCTTTCGGTTTTTAAATTTAAAGATACTCTCTCTATATATATTTTTTAACTTTTTATTTGCTTTTATCATATTATCTATTTAATAATATATATGTGGTGTTTGTTTATGAACAACTAGTTAAAAACAAATAAAATACATTAAAATAATATGATGTTTGTGTCTACATCTTTTATTCCTAAACTTTCTAAAACTTTGTATTAAAAAATCATTCTAGTAATTACTATCAAAATTTGTAATAAATCTTACAAAGACTTAGCCAAAACGAGTATAGATGAACGGTAATTGGCATATACCTTCAACCATGAGGTTGTGAGTTTGATCCCTTATCCTCATATGTTGTACGAAAAAAAATTATAAAGATATGTAATTTATGTTGATAAGCTTTAAGTTGAGTCATGGACTCTCCTTAAATAATTAAATCATAAATTAACAACAATAACTAAACATAGACTTTTATGCCGTGTAAACATAAATAATTGTTTATATAATACTTCTCTAACAGGTGACATTTTTAGATTAATAAAAACATGTCCCAACGTTAAAATGTACATATATTTACATTTTCCAAACTTAAAATAAAAAAAGTGGAATCTGTTTGGGTGCTACAAACTTTTTTTTTACGTTTATTACATTCCCATGTGTTATTATACATGGAATATTTACTTGGTCTACTTGCTTTAAATATCAATAGGAGCTTATTGATTTTGTTTTATACTTTTTACTTGCATTCTCTCTCTTTCAACGCCCACCCAAAAAAAAAATTCAACTTCATGTTCGCTTTATAATTTTTCTATGGACGGATAAAAAGTTTAAATGTTAACCAACAAAGACTAAATCATTCTTTTTTTTCTTATCTTTTGATAATAAATAAATGTTTGAATTAAGTTTAAATTGACTTAAATTATTCTGATTGTATTATTAAAAAAATGAAATCCATGTGTTTTAGTAATTAAAGTTTAAAATATTTGAACTTTTATATTCACATAGCATACAAATTTGTATAACATTTCATATAATTGATTCATAATTCTAACTACAAAATTCAATTGATAGACGTTTCATTCAAATTTCAAATTTCCACTCTCTTTTTTTTTGTTCATTTTTATTTTTTTAGGGCAGAGGATGATGTGCCGTTAAAGTGACCATATTGCCAGTCACCTTCGCCTGCATGCCATAACTGGCATGTTGTTTCTTTCTTTTTCTTATTTCTCTTTTACGTTTTAAATTCATTTTTGTATTTAAAATTTTTAGGTTTATTTTATTTTCAATATTCTAAAACTTCTGCTTCCTTCTTTTGACCAAATAGTAAGATTCCAACATGAATATACTTCAACTATTAAGACATCTATCTACGATCAAAAAGTCATGAGTTTGAATCACATTTGCATGATTTTGTAATATGTATTTAATGCATATTGAAGTAAGTAGACTCAATTTTGACCTGCAAAATAATTAAGAAAGATAAAAAAATGTTACTTTTTGAACATTACAAAATTAAAATAGATATTTAAATGTTTGAATATCATAATAGAATTTATGTTAAAATATTATTTTGGTCCATGCATTTTTTGTTTTAGTTTATTTTGGTTTTTATATTTTCAAAATGTTAATTTTAGTCTATGTACGTCATTTTAGTACATGTAATTTTGAAACGTCTATTTTGGTTTATGTATTTTTAAGAAGTGATCCATTTTTGTCTTTTCATTTTCGTTTTTATCTCATTTTCTTTCTATCATAGTTTTACCACGATGTTTCACTTAGTAAATTTATTTAAATATAATCATAAATTTGTATTAAATGATTTTTATTTATGTTAAAACCTAGAAAACCTAGGATTAAATTGGTTAATTTTTAATAATACAGAGATCCAACGAAACGTTTTGAAAGTACGATAAAGTAAAATGAATAATAGTCGAAAATGAAAATTTTGAAAGTACATAGACCGAAATCAATCAAAGTCAAAAATACCAAAGCTAAAATAGTATTTAATTCAACCTAAAATTTAGAAGTTTTTTTTTTCTTTTTTAATATTTTGATTTCTCACTAAACTTTGATACGGCGGTAATGTCTCTCTTCTCTTATCATAATAAATCATAAATGAAGAGTACCAATGGGGTCAAGGACCAACCTTTCATGAAGCTGCTCAGTTTTGGCAGAAGATTTTCTCTTTTTTTTGTCCACAATATTTTTTTTAA